GTTTGTGCGCATGGTCCACTAACCTGCACCCAGCCTGAAACAACAACAGTCTATTCGTGCTCGGCCAAGTAGAACATCACCGATTCTGCATCCCCCGACACGTGGCCCACAATCTATACGTTCGCACCCCCCCCCTCTCACTTACAGCACCAATCGCAGCACGATTCACGTCTCTATCTAACCCCACCCTCACACCTGTTCGATGTTACCACAACCTCCAAACCCTCTAGCGCGATAATCCTAGTCTCCACTTCTCATTTAGTGTGACGACCGCCCGGTGTTATCTGCTTGAAAATTCACGAGTAAAACTCGATTTTCCGACGAGCCTTCTTTCCTCATTTACAATCTCGGAATGCATGCTACCTCAGTTATTCCTATATATATTTTTCTGGCTTATTAGTCTTCATCAGCCAGTCCTATCAAATCTTAGGTGTTGATCACCTGGGATTCGAATCCGAGACTTTTAGTCACTGAGGACAACACCCCATCAAGTGTGAATTCGCTAAACTACTGCCTGCGATTGCTCTAGAACGAGCATATTTTTTTAATTCTTTGACTTGCAACTTTTGCAGAAGGGGGGGGGGGTCTGAAACACAATCCCACAATTTAGGAGGGGTCACGGCAATACTATCTGATTTGGAAATTACGACAAATCTCTCATACTGCTCGGTCCACTACAAGTTAGTCAATTTTGAAGGGGGATCGCATAACACCAGCAAATAATAGAAAGTGCATCCGCGGATTTTAAAGATCCAAAATGATGTTTCACTTACCAAATGTAGGGAGCGAGCATACTGCCTGAAAATTCGAAAGAACAAATTAGTGAACAATTATGGGGGCAATCAGCATCTTTTTCAGTCACACAATCAGACTACCAGTCGACAGAGATCAACAGGCGATTTTTTTATAATTTGCAGAAAGGAAATAATTTTAAGTTGACCAGTGCTGGGGGAGGATTCTGGTGTAGGCTAACACTCGGACGTTGAATGCTATTTCTGTCAGGTTCTCCTCGAAACCGTTGGTTCTACTTTGTTCGAGTTCAGACTTGGCCGTAGTGCTATTTGAACGAAAAATTATATCAACCAGATACGTAACGAAGGAAGTATTTTTATACGACGTAGACAAAAAACTACCCGCTTCAGGTTAGGCCAACAGGTTCTGGACCGAGTTAACGGTTGGGCTAATTAAACGATAGCGGTTCAACTGTCACGAGCGATGTCGAAGCAAAACGAAGTTACACTCCCACAGCCCTTCTAGACGGCTATCCACCTTCAATTGCGGCCTCGGAACAAAAAACTCTCGAGGGTCATTCGCAGGACTTTAGCTCAACTACACAATGGCTACTCAATGCTCCGCCGCCAGTACCAACACCGGTTCGACCCACAGCAGACACGTCTTCAACCGCGTTCCCACCCGCCCTCAGGGCGGCCAAGGTCTGCTACACCAAACCTC